CTGGACAGTATGGGTTTAAACTGATTATATTTAGTACAATGTCACACAGCTGTTAGTAAAACTAAGATGCAACTTTAGGTAATTCCAAAGCCTATTTTCTTTCCCTTTGAGTAAACTGTCAGAGGTAAACAATGCCTTACACTCAATTGTTCAATTCAAACTAACAAGCTTCTGACTAGACGATGAAATCTGTTGACTATTCAAATAAATGTTAAAAAGAAAAAGAAAAAAAAAAAACACAATGCCATATATATGATGCCATTATACAAAATAAATCAGTTTCAAAAAAAATTAATATGTAAATGTTTAATTATTTAGGCCTGTTATGCACACAAATTACAAATACATACTTTACATATATCAGTGTATAACGACATTCATAAATATTACAGCCAATTCCTGCTTTGGGTAGTTTAAAATAACAGATGCTAAAAATGACCATAATCAACACTGAACTATATACATTTGATATTATTATCATCTAGAGAGTGTAACATATTGTTTTAGAAAGTTGAATTATTTATAAACTACTTAGCAGAAGAGATACTGGTTTCCTCATAAAAACATACTAAATTCACAGATTATCATGTACATAAATTAAAGAATTAATTACAGTGTTTATTTCTTAGCAATCCATGGCTATGCCACCCGGAAATCCCGAGGGTATCCTGGACTCCTCTTCCTCCTATCTTAACCCCCACATTCAACCAACCACTATTTTTAGTGAAACTTAATAGCTTTACATCTTCCAAATCAACTACTTTTCTCTACTAATTTCTCTTCTTTTCCACCACCACCACTGTGATCTAAGCCAATAGCCTCTGTGATCTACACTTTTCCTCCTGCTCTTCTTTGTCCAGTAAATAATGACTCCAACCAAAGTGATTATTTAAACTCTTTAAAATGTTTAAACAGTTTATTGTTTTTATTATTTCAATGACTTCCCACAGTACCTACTTCCCATAGTACAATAGAATAGACCAAAATACTTAGCTACACATGCTCTGTGATCCTGCCTAGGGATTGCACACTCATCAACAACTAGGTTAAAAACTGATCCATTATATTTACTTACTTGGCACTTTTACTGACTGGCATAAAATGGAAAAGCGCATGCACCTCTAGAGGGAGCAGCTGGGTTCCAGTTGTGTGTGACCATCTGAATATACACACTTGAGTGTTACTGTATCATCTACAAATCTCCAAGAGAAATCAGATATTCAGACTTCACAGATTCATGCTGGCAACTAATTCAAACTTTTGTTAATGATAATAAAGAAACCAAAAAATCTGCATGCAGGCCAAATCTGACCTCTCCTCTAGTTGCTTCACGGAGCCCCACACTGAGCTGTACTGAACTTCATTAAGGATTTTTCAGGATTATCCTGAATAATGTCTTTTTTTCTTATACCTTAGGGTTGTCAAACATGTTGTATCCTCTGCTTAGACTACTTGTTCCCCCTGCCTCTACTTCACTTAGCAATCATGTACTCATTTTAAATTTCTAAGTCATCATTTCCTCAATGAAGCCTTTCCTATTCCCACTGCTCCATCCATCCACCTTCAAAGGCTAGGTGACTGTATTATGTGCAGTCCACTTTACAGCATCTAGTACAGTTTCATAATACTCAACACACCTCAAAAACAAAAATTATTATTTAATACCAATCATCTCCTCCCCCCACATGAGAAGATCTTTAAAATTATGGTTAATGTGGGCTAGCACGTGGTGGTGTGGTAAAGGTGCTGAATTCCCACATGGCCCACCAGTTAAGAGTCTTAGATAGGAACATCTTGAAAATCACACTAGGCAAGTGTGTGTGCCTACCCCAATCCCAAGAGCAGAATGGAGGAGAAGGTATTGCGGCGTGGCCATCCCTCAGAGGAGTGATTTCTCACTTTTTGTCTCTCTGTCTCTCTCCCTCTTTCTGGTGAGCGCATGTGCCATACAGGAAAAAAAAATCTCTCTAAAAAAACACCTGCTCAAGAGGGGCCAGCAGATGGCATAGCAGTTACATCACTGAACTTCCACATGGCTGACTGTGGTTCAAGTCTTGGACCTGCTGGTTTAAAAACCTCACCAGGTGCATGTGTATACATGCTCAAGATCCCCAGTGGAGAATGGAGGAGAAAGGACTGTGGTGTGGCCATCCCCCATGGAAGATGATTTCTCAATTTCCCTCTTACCGTCTCTCTCTCTCTGACTCCAGTAAACACACACACCCTGAGGCAAAAACCTCTTTAAAAAAAATTGCTCAAGAACACTCATCTAAGTCATGACAAACTAGAGTATAAATCCATGCAGCTTAACTCCAGGGTTTAAATATCAAACTATTATATTAAACTAATCCATTAATAAAGAAACACTAATCAAAGTATCTCTTAAAAACTATAAATGGCCATGACATATTTTCCATTACTAACAATAAAAGTAGTTTCCTCATCCCTCTATCCAATACCCTTTTATACACACATAACATTAAGATAAATTATCAATCTATATTTCCTAAATTAAAATTTTTTTGACCCACACTCAAAACAGTAGTCCTGGTCTTAGTATCACCTAATTCCATAAAAAATGCTATCTTTCTGAATTATTTTTTAAAATGCTAATGCTTATACAGCATTTTGATGCTTTGTATTTCCAGATTTTAAACTTATACTTAACGTAAAACACATTTTCTTGCTCAAATTAAATAATTCTTTTTGGGGCCAGCAGATGGTGTAGCAGGCAGTTACCTCACTGTACTCCCATGTGACCAACCACAGTTTAAGTACCAGAGTTGGTGGCTTGAAACTCAGGCACATGTGCATGCCGGAGATTCCTGGAAGAGAATGGTGGAGAAGGGATTGCGGTGTGGCCATTCCCCACTGAGGGGTGATTTCTCACTTTCCCTCTCACTATCTCTCTCTCTCTCTCTCAGATATAATAAGCAACAACAAATAATATACTATACAAATACAAAATAAACTGATATGACCAACAGAAATACAGAGATAACACAGGTAAAGAGAGAATCTCTTGCTAACTGAACTCTCACTATGATCTTCTATTTTCCTACATGTATCACTTGTTATCTGGAATCTTCAAAATTCAGTAGTAAGCTCACTTACTACCACTTGCTATAAGAACTCAGTAACTATTTTCACACTCCAAAGAGTGAAATCCCAGTAAGTAGTTTTGAACACAAGACTACACATGTACATAAATTCAAAGACTACATAGTTTTTCAGGATTCCTGTTTAAGTCATTTAGGTACAGTTTTCTAAATGTGAATAAGATGTACATATTTGTACATTCAAATTTTATATCTTACTTCTGTCTAACAGAATTTTTTATGTAAATATTTTTAAATGAGCCTATGACCATATTTTTTAAAAGCCTAGACTACAAAATATAAAGGAAACTTCTTGAGATATGACAGATAATGACGAGATTAAACAACATTAATGCATGGTACTATCAAGGAGCTCTGAAGCATTTTAACACTTCTTTTCAAATATTCACCAATAGCTCATATAAATACCATGGAAACTAAGATTTCAAGGGACAGAGTACTTTCTGTGTTAAATTATTTAGTAGCAAATTTCAAAACTCATACACATTTTTCTCTAACAAAAAGCAAAGGACAAAATTAAAGAGACAAATCCAAGAGTTCAGAAGTTGAAATGGCAAAATTTCCACATTAACTAAGCTACATAAAAGGAAAAGTCAGTTGTCATTAAAACTGTATTTCGGGAACAGCAGTTGCGTAATGGCTATGTCGCTGGGTCTCCCATGTAGTTGACCGCGGTTCGATTCTTGGACCCGGTGGCTTAAACTCACGCTGGGTACGTGTGCATGCTTGCCCAAGATCCTGAGAGGAGAAGGGATTGCAATGTTGTCATCCCCCCTGGGGGTGATTTCTCGCTTTCTGTCTCTCTGTAGCTCTCTTTCTGGCGAGCGCATGTGTCCTATAGCAAAAACCTCTCCAAAAAAAGAAAAAACAAAAAACGAAACTGTGCATTTCCCCCAATATTTAACTTAGACTCACATTTGAACCGAAACTTCTTAAAAATCTGTTACAGAAAAAATTAAAACTAACATCTTCTCGAAATTGATTTTTTTTTGTTTTTTACATACTCATTTTAAGTAATGGGGGGAATAAGTTTGAGGAAAGTAAGCTACTTTTCCAAACTATTCTTTGAACAATATGTGTGTGTGTGTATGGTAACTAGAGCTCCCATTTTAGACTAATTTGGCTATACTATCTCAAGAGCTCATTCCAGATTTGGTGACTTGAAAGAAGGTGAACCTCTTAATCAAATTCTAATTGCTGCTTGACACAGCCCACCTCTTACATTTAAATAAAAGATCAGAGCAAAATTAGATTTTTAAAAATAACTAAATATTGTATGCACTATTCACAAAGTATAATTACTGAAGATTCCATACCTTTAACTTGATTCTATACAAAGCACTAACACACACCCTCTGAAAATAGCAAAAATCGGGATATTCCGGCATGTTAAGAAATGACAGGTATATTCTGCCCATTTTCACCATCCTAAAAAGCAAAGATTTGTTAGTAAGCTTTAACTATAAGTCAGAATATGAGGGCTCTTGGCTACAGGAAGCCCACAGGAGCTGTCAAGATTCAATGTTACTTACTTTACATGGTGGCACGATGACTACATACAATCCATTTTTAATAGATGCAGGTGCAGCCCATGTAACTTTCTCTTTAGGTTAAATTTTCATACCTTCACTCTCAGGTGTCCACATTAGACACAGTAACTCTGAACACGAATGTTTCTCCTATATAAAATGAAAGAGCTGGACTTCATATGGGACTCTAGAAGTCCTTACAGTCTAGGGTTTTATTCAGCCAGTTCTGGGCTTTTAGTACAATTTATGGCTTAGGGAAAATTACATTTTACTTCAAAACAAAGAGATTTGATGCAATAACCGTACTTTGCACCACTATATGTTAATGCAAGAACTTCTGAAATCAACAAACCTGTGTCTATGTTCATCGGGTCCATGGATCAGGAAGACTCCAGGGTTTTTAGCTCCTTTGCCGGCATCTACATGAGGAATTAACACATCTTCTAAACCCAGATCAAAGCGTTTGTGTTTTGAAGAGTCTGGAAGGAAGAAGAATGCCCCAAAACACAGGGTGATGAAGGCACTAAGAATAAGGAGAAGGATGAACTTCTCAGAAAGTCTCAAGGTAGCCCTGTGATGTGGGAAGGAGGGAGGCCCCACATTCAGAGGTGGTATCCTGCGTCCAGACAGGGGCAGCAGGGCTGGAGTAGTCATCGTTCACGCTCTTGGAAAGAATACTTTATAAAGTTCTCATCTTATATCAAACGTACAATACATTGAACTGTTTTCAAAATCTTGGCAAAAATGAAGAGTTGTTGTGCTTTTTTAAGAGGGCACCTCTCACGCTTGTCCAATTACTTTCAGAAACGTGCTTGACGATCCCCCACCGCCTCAAACGATCACACGTTGCTGTCCCGTGGTGGCTTCTTTGCCATTTGGCTTTCAGTACCTCATCGGGTTATTACAAGTCTCCTCTTCATGCCGAGGGGTACTGGCAAGCCACACTGCAGAGAAGCTGCAAGGTGGGTTCTTCCATTCCTGCACCCCCAGTGAGATGCCCCACTGTGGTCTCCCGCCCCGAAAGGGAGCCTGTCGAGATCCGAGAGGTTGTAGAAGGTTCGCTTAATCGCCTCCGAAGCTTCTAGTCCACAATCTCTTAGGCTTACTGGGAGCAAGAATGAGGGTCTCCTCGGACGTCGGCCCACAGGGAGGAAGGGCTCCCACCTCGCTGGGAAGACGAGCGCGGCGCCCGGTGAAGTAGCAGGATGGAGTTCTCCGCAGCCCGCGCTCCGCGATGGCGCCCGGCAAGCTCCGGGGCCGGCCGGAGCTCCGAGGCTGCCCACTAGACGGCTGGCGCGAAGGGCCGTCCGACCCCCGTCCCGCCTCCCGCCGCCGCCGCTGTTGCTAGCGCACGGGTCTGTCAGGGAGCGGAACTTCCTCCTCCGGCGACCACTGAGCGGCCCGGGCGTGTGCGGGGGGAGGGGAGCGCGGCGGCCGCCCCCGCCCGACTCCTCCTCCTCCCGGCGGCCGGTTCAGTTAACCCCGGCGCCTGCTCCCCGAGCGGGGCCGCCGCTGCCCCCCCCGCCC